AAAGAATAAAAAAGAGACTACCCAGCAGCTAGTCAGAGGATTGGTGCGTACGAAGCAAAGCATTTAGCCATGGAAAAATCAGCTTGCCAGCACTGTTGGATATTAAGTTTAAACCCCTTTTAATGGCGCTGCTTCCAATTCAAGAAATTTAAAGTGCAGAAATAAAACAGGTTTATAAACACAAGATGCTTAACACAGCAAACAAATGTTTCTCTAAGTTTAATTATTTTTGTTCCCCATAAAAGTTTGAATTTTAAAGGACTATTTCAGTATAGCCCTGTACGTTTGCCAGCACCGGAAGTCACACACTCATTTTTCTCTATAAAATTAATTACATTCTCTTTTGGTAGCCTGACTATAGAATCCTGCACTTGGTTGTATTGAACTGCATCCTGCTAAGACTAAACTTAGTTAAGCCTAAATTAAGCCCAGGTAGAAATAATTCACACAAAAGCAGACAAGAATCAAGCAGACAAGATGCAAACCTGTAGCCCACAACGTGAGTAGAGGGGCAGAGTCATACCACCAAAAAACCCCTCAGTTCTGCTGAGATGTATAAATGAAGATATCATCTACAAATGTAGATGAAATAATCTTTCCAGCTCACAGATGTGTGAAAGCCTCTGTTGAAGTTCCACGTCCAGTTTTGGGCACTGCTGTCCAAAAATAAAAACACAGCTTAAGATGAGGAGAGATCAGAGATCTTGGGGGAAGAAGAAAAGGTTAAAGGAACAAAGTATTGAGTCTACAACTAATCAGGTTCAGAAGCAAGGGTCTAGATGATGCTGACATCCAGCCACCCTTATCTCCTGCCAGCTTCATCAGCAACCAGAGACAAGTAAATGATACAATCACAGAAACGTAGGTTGACAAGTTCGATCCCATGCAGTCCTGGCATTTGAACGCTTCAACTAAAAATCTGAGCCAAAGCTTCTGCTGCAGCAGCATCCATTACCCACACTCCATGTTCAGACAAATGTTGGAGCTCTCCTACGTACCACCCTACCCACTCAGGAAGGACAGTCAACACCTATTTAAAAAGCCACCTCACCACCCTGCCAGATCTCCCTTCCAGCCCTCCTTTGCAACAACAGCCATAAAAGTGTCTACAGCACGACAGCTTCACCTCACCATTACTTGTACCTTGCTGTCTATTCCACTTCTTCTTGTCTCCTTTTTACACATAAGTCACAAGTCTCTCCAGATGACACTGTTCTCATGTCAGACGTGCAGTGCCTCACACAACGGGAAGATCACCCGTAAAGGGATTTACTTGATGTCAGAGCAGTAAACGAAACATAAAACTGCACCATGCAACTACAATGTAATTATGAACTATTCCCTGCTGCTTCGAAGGGGAAAGAGAGGAGAATTCTTGATCCTTAACTGCAACATTGGATTTCATATCAGTGCTTCCAGAAAGTATGTGAAAGGGAAGAAAAGAGGTTTATAGCATTATAGAACAACAAAAAACAAACTTCCCTTCATAATCATTTCCCTAACAGAGAGGGTCCAAAAACCCTCCAAAGATCAGCAAGATAGAAAGCATTATATAAATTACTATATAGGACTGCTACTAATGAGCACTGCATGAGCAGAAATATTACTGACCTGCAAAAATACCCCAGAGGCATACATCATAAAATCCATTTAAAAATCCCTGGAAATGCTCAATTCTAAGTTGCTTGTTTACCTGAGATGAGTAAGCAAAGCAACAAATATCGTGGGGGTTTTGTCAGCACCTCATTAAGTTAGTAACTTAATGGCCTTTTGTCTTATTTTCTAATAAAAATCATCACGAGGATGGATTTTCAGAAACGACAACACTGACATGGAAAATACATCCTGCAGTACGGCATCATTTTGCAAGAACACGGCCAATTAAAGGCACATGAAAAACACATCAGCTCCTTTAGTTTACCAACTCTGAGGTCTTGCAGCAGAGTGCAGATCACCCTGTGCTGCAGGAAATTAATTTTTGACTTTTTATTTAACATGGAGGTACCTGTCTTCAGGAAATAGCTGACAGAAGTTGACACCAGCAGCAAGACAAACTGCAACCTGATTTTCATCCTGTTTAAGGCCACCTTAACACCAATGTTGGAAGTTTTTAGATTTATTACTAAAGTAGGAATACCTAGCTGAACAAGCAATGTGTCGTGATGTTTGTTTACAGTGCCATCGGTGTATACACTGTTGTATGGAAATAATTAGATGAGGTGCTGACAAAGTTTACAATGCATGAAACCAGTATGAAGTACATTCAAATTTACACAAAATAACCACAAGGGAGAAAACTCTTAAGTTAAACAGGATAAAACAAGAGGGAGAAATAAAAACTTCATTTCTTCACCTAAAACAGAAAAATTGTGTGTTTGGCAGACTTTGTACAGCATAAGGGTTTGCTTGGTTAACTCTGTTGTGAACAGAGCCAACATAATTAAATAATATATTTAACATTAAATCTAGCCTTATATGTACCACGTAACCTTCAGCACATTCCTGTGAAATACAAGACTCTCCACAACACAAACGGGTGAACCAGCGGTACAGTGACTTGCTCGTAACGCCACAGTTAACAGAGCCCATGAGTCCCAACTCTCAACGTCAGATAACCAAGAAATACAGGAGAGCACAGCAGTCCTGACAGAGAGCAACCCCCTCTGAAAGTCATTCCAAACTGCTTCTTTCTAATTTCTATGCCTATTTCCATACTAACAGTACAAATTAATCCTTGAATACAACTTTTTTGCTTAGCCTCAAAGCCATGCCACTAAACACTTACATGAAGCTTAGCTTTAAAATAATTCATATTAAAAGAAATAAGTATTTGATGAAGATTTGTTAGTATTAGTTCATGTAATAACTACTTCAATTGTATTATATCTGTTCAAATATAATAGAAATAATAAGATGTAAAATAAATGTTTTAAAAGTATGCTTTAAAGGAGAGGAGAAATAGTCCTCTCCCATCCATAAATACCTAAACAGTTTATTTCAGTCACAGCAGAGTAGCTGTCTTTTTCATTATTTCTTTTAGTTATCCGATTTCATGCATCAAGGCAAAGGAGATTTCCTGTAGGGATTGTAGGATATTTTTATCCTCCAAATAGAGCACTTCATATCGTGCAGAAATCGTGCAGCGCACACCTGGACCTCGCAGAGGCTCGCTCTTGCACAGAGGCTGGCGTTCCTCCAGAGGATCAACCCCTGGTCTTTGTCACAATCCAGACCTCAGATTTCGTACTTCAACAATCAGCTACATATGAAAAGTCATACAGCCCTGAAAACGCCTTTTCTCCAGATTTAATAAAATTTTCATGTTTCTGCCATTCTGCTTAAATCTACACTTTTGAACAGAACATTTTGGCAGCCCTGTGCAGCGTCCTGAGACCGCACCTCTCCTGAGCTCAAGTCCCCATGATTATTGCCAGCTTCCTTTGCTTAACTCTGCAACGATAACTTCCCTACAATCTAGCCATAACCCTGCTGCAAGATCATCTTCTCTCCTTTAACCATAATTAGGTACCTGCTTGCAAGACAGGCTTCTCCCTCACACCTCTGGAGGGGAAATGACTAAATTCCCTTCAAAGCCATCCCATTTGCAACCCATTTGCTCCCTCTGACTCATCGCTAGAGAATAAAGCTTTTGCCGAGGTTGTTCTTGTCCAGTCAGTCCTTTTTAGTTGCCAGCCACACAGCTAGACACTGGTCAGTCTTCTCTCACAGCTTCCAAAACATGTTCTCACTCCCGCTTCAGAGATTTGACACCTGTACCCCAGATTTTCCATCATCTGAAGCAGGGACTTAAGTCACTTGGCAGAGCTCACCTACTGTACAGCTTCACGTAAGCGTCTGCTGCTGAGAAAAAACATTTAAATATACCTCTCGCCCCGAACCATGCTTTCACCGACTTTGAGGTACAACTCGGACAAATTACAACACGTTTGACCCTCCCTTCAAACACAGATGACAAAAGGACTCAGAGAAAAGGGCTGCTGAAGAGCAATCCCAGCACCAGCCACCTTCCCCCAGCACTGAGGATACTCTCGGTGCGGTAACACCTTTGCCTGTCTCCTTGCCAGGGAGAGGCGGCTGGAGAAGCCCCGGCCAGATGCTGTTCTCCTGGGGCACTAGTGAGCAATCCCCCCCCACCCCGGGGGCTTGATGGCCTCTCGCATCATATCACCGTCCATGGAGACCCACCA